CCTTCAACCTGCCCTACCAGATGAGCCACCCCCGCCTGTTCGCGGGCACGGACGCAGCCTCTAGCGCCGACGGATACGTTATCGAGGTCCAGGAGGGAGACGGTGAGTCGCCCTTCATGTCGGGTCACTCTGGGGCCGCCTTGTGGGCTCATTGTTGGGCCACCCTTCATGTAGGGCCACTCTGGGGTGTCCTCATTCGGAAACTGAAACTTCGTCGGAGCGGCGCAGCCCAGGCTCCCCTGCCTGCATCAGTAACAACATGCTTATTGGGTGCCGTTTGAGATCGAAAGCAAACTGCTGGCCGGGGCCGCTGCCTGGGCAGCCAACAGCACCACCCAAGGGTCCAGGTCTTTCAACCCTTTGACCAACGCCCCCCTTGCTTCTGACCCTCCACCTTCCCGTTCTCAGTCATCGTCGCCGCCTCGGATGGCATATTTGACAACATGTGGGACAGCCAGCTGCTGTCGATCCTATCAGACGTCCTGAGCCCCCCAGAGGCGGACCCATCCGCGTGCGGCACGGCCGCCGGCGCCGCGGCGAACTCCCGGCAGCCTGGCGGGGGCACAGGCTGGGGGGCTGCCGCCAGGGAGAGGCGCGCGCCGGGCCCCGGGATAGGCGGCTGGGGCGGCTGGGGCCGCGCGCAACAGGCCCTGTTCGGCGGCGGCGTCGGCACGCGCGCGCGCAGCAGCGCCAGCAGCTGCGGGCTCGCCCGCCCGGGCGGCGCTCCCTCGGACGCCGCGGCGAGCTCGCGGCGACGGCAGCGGACGCCGGCGCCGAGCCCTGCTGACCTGGCGCGCCGCGCGGCGCAGGCGCTCGCGCGCGCGGCCCACTTCAACGCCAGCGACGCGTCGTACCGCAGCCCCTGGTCTGTGGCCGCCGGGGGTCGGGGCGTCATCGCGCGGCTGTTCTCCCGGGGCGGCAAGATGGACGACTGCACCTGTGTGGTGGCGCTCGTCGCGGACGCGCGGCAGGTGGTGCTGCACGAGCACGCAGGCCCCCGGCCGACACGCGCCGCGGCAGGCCCGGCGGGCCCCTGAACCCCGGCCTCGCCCTCGCGAGCAGGCGCGCTGCCTGCTGGCTGGCGGCAAGCGGGACGCAGGCAGGCCCGCGCTCTGGCACGGACTGCCGCAGCCGCAGCCACCCCGCCCCGACTGCCGTGCTGACAATCCCTTGTTGTGCACCGGACCTTTCAGTCACATGTGTACATTCAGCGCCCGTAACTGCCGCCTCTCAGACGAGCTGTGGCGTATCCTGCCCGGAGCTGCAAGCACTACCACTGCTCTCGGCGCTGCTGCATGGCAGCAAGGGCTGCACCTGGTTTTCGCACTTCCTGCCTGCACTCCATGGGGCCTGCACGATACATTCTCTGGTTCGTCACAACCACCTGCAAGATCGCCCATGCCAAGAAACGCCCTTGTGTTTCATAGCCACAAGCCTGCTGTGTTTGGTGGTGCGGTTGCCAGCTGGTTTTTTTTTCTGAGCATGCATGACCATTTCTCTTTGCAAAAATGTCGTTGATTGTTGCTGCTTCAAGGCCCTGCGCCGCTTCCTCGCGGCTTGGAGTTGACTATTGTTGGTGTGTGCAAGCCCAGTGCATCAGGCGGGCACATCTCGGCGCATTCCTGGTGATTGATAGCTGCCTGAGTTGTGCTCAATTCAATGCCACCATGCATCGCTGCTTGCGCTCGTCTCAAGCAAGCCGCCCCTCACTGCAGGCGTGCCCCAAGCTACCGGGCCTGCTGGCGACCGTTGACCTTGCAACGGCGCTGGCGCTCCCTGCCAGCGCTCTCAGCTGTCCAATTTGATTTATGAAGGACTGGACATTTGCACCCTGTTTTTGCACAGGTTTGTGCCTGTGTGGGATAAACATAGCTGTCCCTACCATGAGTAGGCGCCCCTCCTGGGCCGTGTGCAAGCCAAGCCCTTGTGGGCAGAGGAAGTTATGTGTGCTTTCAAGGGTTTGCCGACCCACGCCGCTTATCAGCCTGTCGCTGTGCATGCCCACTGCGCTGTTGCACCAATGCAATGTGCTGCTTACCTGCAGAACCCAGGGTCCTGTGTACCAGGAAACGAGCTTTGTTTGGCGCGTGCTCAGCAGGCCTGTGGAGTCATCGTATGTGTTGCATGGCGCATGTGTGCTGCCACAAATGCACTAGTACTACCGCCAGCATAGTATGCCGGCACGGCGTATGGGTGCAGGGGTGCACCGCATTGCGCATGTGCAGCATGTGCATATGTCATGACAGGCGAATGTGTAATTTTGCGGCCTGCTGTGATATCGTGGCCAGTCAACCAATTTGATTTTTTCCAGGTGTGCACTGATCTTGGGGTTTCTCGTTTGGCTGCCCAGGGGGCAGGCGCGCTTTGCGTGTACAAGAGAGACAGTGTGTGTGTGTGTGTGTGTGTGTGTGTGTGTGTGTGTGTGTGTGTGTGTGTGTGTGTGTGTGTGTGTGTGTG